GCAGCTGTTTGGAGGTGACATGAATTCCAAGGTCTTCTCCAGTCAGGCTGCGACTGGAGATGACTTCATATTTTGGTGTACATGAAGGTGATGGGCGAGAGCCAGCTCCTGCTTATAGAGGAACATCTTGGGTATCTTCCGCCCTGGTACTCGTATGCCACGTAAACTTTGCTGATATGTGACCAGAGTAAAGGTCTTTTCTTTCGCCCCCCCCCTACTTTCAACGCACGGACGCTTGCATCGGAAGCTCACATCGAAGATCTGATGTTGCAAGCCAGGAAGATCAAGTACGACGTCATCGGACTGACCGAGACGAGGAGGCATCGCCCGCTACACGCCGTATACGAGACTGGAGAAGAACTGTTCCTCGGAACATGCGACAGCAGAGGCGTTGGCGGTGTGGGCGTCCTCGTCAACACGCACTTGGCCATGAACATCGATTCGTACGAAAATCTGACGACCCGAATCGGACGTTTGCGATTGAGAAGATGTGGTTCAACTCCAGCTTTGACAATCTTCGTCGCCTACGCACCAACATCAAGCTACGACGAGGATGAGCTCGAAGCGTTCTATATGGAATTAAGTTCTACAAGGAAGATCATACCTTCTTCAAGGTCATCGTCGGTGATTTCAACGCTAAGATCGGACCAAGAAGAACGGCTGAAGAACTTCACATGAGAACACGAAACGGATTGGAATGAGCAGGGCTGTCTGAGTTATCATGTCGACCCATACCATCCATGGTAACTCAGTTCCAGAAGCCCTACTCTCTACGCTGGACATGGGAGTCTCCTGGTGGACAATTCCATAACGAGATCGACCACATCATCTTCAATCGAAGGTTTTGCCTGACCGATGTCGCTGTTGTTCCTAAGTTCTACACAGGATCCGACCACCGTCTCCTTCGCGCGAGATTCCGCTTTTCGATGCGAGGAGAGAGAGCCGCAAAGTTCAAGAAGCGAAGCCCCAAGACCGTCATCAACTGGGATCACTTCACTTCTCTCGCTGGGCTCTGGGAGGACAACATCGACGAGGAATACGAACGGCTTGTCGCACATCTTCACGACTGCGCCAAGAGTTCAAGATTACCAAGAAGCGTCTATCTCTGGAAACTCTCGAGCTGATTCGCCAACGTGGAGCCGCACGAGCCGCAGGCAATTACCAGCTGACGTCTGAGCTTGCGAAGCTATGCAGAGAAGCGATAAAGGAAGACCTCAAGGAGAGAGCAGCAGTACTGGTGGAAGCCGCAGAGGCTGGGAAGAGCATACGCAACGCCCGCCGCGACTTCGCCAACTGTAAGACCAAGATGACCGCCCTCCGACGTCCGGATGGAACAATCACCGCATCCAGAAGGGCAATGGAGAAGGTCATCCACGACTTCTACTCGGATCTCTTTGACAGCCACGTCCACCTGCCACCATACCGCTTGGAGCAGGATGGATATGTCGTTCCTGCAGTTCTCCCTTCCGAAGTCCGACACGCCATCTCGTCGGTAAAGAATCGTACGGCACCCGGTCCCGACAGGATCAGACCCGAACATCTGAAGAATCTTCCGCCAGTTCTTGTCAAAACTCTGGCTCGACTCTTCACGCGCTACCTGTCGGAATGCAAGGTACCCACCTCGTGGAAAACCAGCAAGACTGTGTTGCTGTACAAGAAGGGAGACCTGTACGACATTGGCAATTATCGCCCAATCTGCCTGCTGTCTGTAGTCTACAAACTCTTCACACGTCATCCTGAACAGGATTGGCAGAACACTAGACGAAGGACAGCCATGCGAGCAAGCAGGGTTTCGAAGAGGATTCAGCACGATCGATCACATCCACACGGTAACGAAGCTCATCGAAGTATCGCGAGAGTACAAGATGCCGTTATGTCTCACGTTCATCGACTTGAAGAAAGCCTTCGACTCCGTTGAGACAGAAGCGGTTATCGAAGCCCTGGGCAACCAGGGTATTCCTACTCAGTACATCAGGATTCTTCGTGAGCTCTACAGCAACTTCACGACCAAGATCTCACCATTCTACAAGGAGATCATCATCGATGTGAAGAGAGGGGTCCGACAGGGCGACACCATCTCGCCCAAGCTCTTCAGCGCCTCTCTCGAGAACGTCATGCACCATCCTCATTTCAAAATAGCTAGTCCGGTCGGATTCGCCAAATGCCATTTGATCGTCCTTCGTATGATGCTAGTCGAATCACTCGAAGAGACCGGGCGATCCGACTGGCCTCCACTGGAAAACCCCTGTGGCAATACCCAATTCACACGCGGAAGGAGGATTGCTCATAGAAACCGTGCAATCCGACTGGCTACCACTGGAATAACTCTGTGGCAATACTCATCACACGCGGAGGGATTATCGCCCGCCGAAACCGGGCGATTCGACTGGCTCTCATTGTAAAAACTCTGGGGCACTACTCAGTCTGCACCAGAAGTAGGTTCGCGCCGAAAAGTCAGGCGATCCGACTATCTCTCATTGGAAAAATTCTGGGGCAATATCCAGTTCAAACGCGAGAGTATAATCGCCCGGAAATGTCGAGCAATCCAACTGGCCCTCATTGGAAAAATTCTGGCGCAATATCTAATCCACACACAAGGGGGGTAATCCCGCTGAAGCCGGGAGATCCGACAAAGCGAAATGTGAAGCAATGACTATGCTTAGCTACGTCGGCGCATATATCCAAACTCGAGTACTTACAAGGCAAAGAGTAAAATTTGTACCGGTTCACAGGCGTTCGAGGTACAAATCCGATAGAAACCGATGCACCACGAGGGAGAAAATAATTTGTCTCGCAAAATGTAGATGTGCCACAGTCGAGTCGAAAGCGCTTTGTTCGCCTACCTCTAACGTGGGTAATTAATCGCAGTGGGCTTTGGTTAGTTCTCTGCAGAAAACCGGAGCAAAGCCACTCTGTAGTAGCGCCGTAGGGCAAATGATGACGAAAGACCTGAAATGATAACGATAAGGCCCTCATTAACCGTTCCAGTCAGGAAGTGTACGATTCCACGCCTGAGGAATCAGCGGTGGCCAAGGGTCAACGTGAAAAAAAATCACGGCCGGATGTTCTTGAAAAAGAACCCTGACAGCTGATCCGATGGTGATCAATCGCTGGTCCACGCGGACATTTCTGGGCGTGTCGTTGTTGGAGGGGGTACTGGTTGGTATTTTAAGCATTGCTAGAATGCTTAGATGCCGTTTTCTAGTGGAAAAGACATCATGTGAGGCCTTCTCGGGGGCACGGAATTCTTTCGTGATCGGCGTGTTTACGTTACATGCCTAGGGAATTTATCGTACTTTTTTCCTCCAAGCGATTACAAAAGATACCATCAAGTCACAATAAGTCAACAATGGAAGTTAAGCAAAATGAGCAAAATGTATGGAAGAGAGCTAAGGAGGAAACTCACATTCTAAACATGACCCTAATTAAGGATCGAAGGTGCAGAGGAGAACTTGCGCATACGGAGTAGCAAGCGGGTGTAGAAAGGGCAACGACTAGCGGAGAATGCATCTGAGAAAGCGGCTATGAGACGAAGTCAAGAAGCTGACATATTTATATTGTCTTCAAATTCTCTACAATTTTTGTCTGGATAAGCTTCGCTCTCATTACCAAGAAGCTAACAAGAATTGCTAAGCTTCGATCGCGTGGGAACTGCAATACAGCAGAAATTCTTCTGCGTGTACAAGGGACACTCGACACACTGAGGAGAAAGGGAATCCAGAACACCTAAGTGTCCAAAAGAGTCGTGAATGATTATTTAAGGCATGCGTAGTCAATGTGAAGAGCGTGAAAGTGCTTGACTTGTACGAGGAGATGAACTAGGAGCCTCAGACAACTTGGTCTCCAAGCTGGTTGGAGCTGGGCACAAACCACCCGATACATTAGATATATTAGGGTAGTATACACGGGAAAGCACTAATGACATCATCCTGAGAAAGCTAGCCGAGGGCAAGAGAGCGTGGGAAGAAAACTTCCATAGGTTTCCGAGCGAAGAGTTCCCTGTCAGTCGCAGTCCAGAAATAGAAACGACACTTGGGAGAGCGTGGAGTGAGTTGGCTCGCTCACTTCCAGTACCACGTCAGAGTTGAAGGAAGACGCAGGATGGGACACTACAATCTTCCCGTTCTTCATCAAGGAGGGAGACCAACGGAGTGCTCCAACTATCGCGACATCGGCTGGTAAAAGTTTCAGAATAGTCCACGTATCTCGACATCATTTTTACTGCTCATACCATGAAGCTGCAAGGGCGGTTGGACAACACAGGGCTAAGGGAACGTGTTCCCAAATAGCAGGAGTAGTCCGGCTACAGGAAGTGCCGACTACAGAAGCCGCCTTCATCGCTAGGAGGTGATGGAGGAATATTGAGAAAAGCGGCATATCTGTTACATAGCCTTCACTGATCCTGAGGAGGTTTTCGATCGTCTATCGCAAAATTTACTCTGGAGTGCGCATAGAGATTTATATACTCCTCAGCACTTGATGTCTTATGAAGGTATGTGTTTCGATACGCACTCCGCACTAAGGTCACCCGTATGTCGGCGACGTGGGGATCGTGTGTGACTTGCCGGTAGGGGCGGGCTCACATGTGCTGGTCTCAATAGTGAACAGGATAGGGACAACGGTACTGGAACATTGTCCTGTTGACTATTGACACTGCATACAACTCCCTACCTTGTTGTAAGATTTCGATAGCACTGCGTCAACTACTTTGGTTGGTAGACCTTCTACCACGTCACAATTGTCTGCGATAAAAAAATTTCCAAGTGATTTCCAACTGCCGTGGCCTAGCTGGTTGACAATGTCGATCAGGCCAAAATATAAGCCAAATGAAAATCTGCTAACATCTTGATTTCAACATATACAAGAAGCATCTCAGATTATGACAAGAATCCTGAAAGTTGATGAGTGATGCCCGTTGTTTTTTTCATTCACTATTTTTGTTACTAACAGTATTTTAGCTGCTTTCGTGTCTTGAAGCTTGCTGGCTTGAGCTTCCTGAAATGCGACCAAACATCAAGAAGGTTAAAGGGATGGTAAACGCCAATTTACGCTCAACGTAAGACCATTACTCAATATTTTCCTGTCACAGACCTCAGGATCTCAGGCGAAGGTTGAAGCTTAAAAAAAACGTAGAAAAAAAGAACAGCGAAGAAAAAAACATCAGCGAAGAATGGCAAGGTTCCGATAAGCATTACCATGGTGAATTGGGTCCTTGAGAGAGTAGTCGTTTTCTGAAGTTGGAGCGGGTACAACACAACTATTCCGAATCGATCGCGTCAAAAGGTGGCCCAAAAGCACCAAAAATCAAATGATCGTCCCACAAACTCCGAACGGCAGAATATCGTCTACAACTCTAACGAAGCAAACGAAGTGCAGAAAAAGCTGGGGAATATTTAAGCTTGTTTCAACACTTGACTTTTTCTATAAAATTCCGTTCCTGTTGATGTTACGATACGGTGAGACTAGGGTATGGTGCAGGACTAAATTTTGATCATATGTGTCACTTCTTGGTTTGAATTCAGCGGGAAATTCATCCTCAAATTTAGTGGAAAAGGATCACTTGTCGACCAAATGATGAAAATGATGGAGGAGTACACGAGCAATCTCGAAAACATGGTACGGGATCGTACGGCGCTTCTTGAAGAGGCGCAGAAGCAAGCCGATCGGTTACTGAACAGCATGCTGCCCAAGTGAGGAGATTTATCAGCTACATCGCTTCTTTATTTGATGCTGCTCCACAATTGGGTGGAAATACTCACTGATGCCTTCAGAAGCCTGAACGCCACTCATAAGGGAGGTTCAGGTCGTGGCGCGCTTTTTGGAAATGGTTTGTTGCTTGTTGTAGGGGTCCATACAAGGATCACAAAAATGGGTTTCATTTTTGCTATGCGTTTCTGGGGAGGTCAAAAACTGAGTGAAAACAATTTGACAAGAAAGGGCGATTTTAACCGTCTTATTGGGCTCTGTTGTAGCTGTAACTTTGAGAGTGCATAGTTTATGAGGTGTTCCTTCACTATGTATCGAAAAGAGAGCAAAATAAAGTCAAAAAGAAAGTGCATGGAGAAAAGTAGTACCGAAGTTACTTCAACGATTCCCGCAACCAGTGTTCCGTGGTCGACGGATGGCGGAGTGGATAGTGCGGTGGGCGGAAAGGGGGTTTGTGGATCGGATCCTCTTGGCGGCAAATTTTTGCATTTTTCGGATACTTTATGCATTTTTCGGATTTCCGTCTCCTTGTCTCCTTGTGTTCCTGCGTGCGTGATGATGTATATAACATGGATATATGCCATTTAAGAGCTCATTCTGTACACTCAAACTTCACGAGTCGACCCTACTTAACTATTGCGCTCTCGAAACATTACTGAGGAAACTCTTGCTGAAAGTTGGGCTCCGGGGATGACTGGATACCCTACGAGTACGACACTCATTTTTGACCACGGCGCAACCTATCGCCGATTTGCTGCAAGAGCATTCTTGCACTGAAATCGTTGTCAACCCGCACGCAGGGGCTGTTAAGCGCCATGCTGGCGTCAAATGGCCTCGGCGCATAAAATAAGTGTCAGAATCGTGAGCGGGGCTACCAATTACTCCTGTATACGGGCTTCCAGTAAAAAAAATCCGATGATAGTGAACCGACCACTTGGTTGGGAGTGGCACTCGACCAGCGCACCCAGCGTAACTAGTTCCACTTTAAGACTTCATAGCTTGCGTTCGTGAAGAAATGCAGAAATGCGGAAAATGCAGAAGTGCGGAAAGTGCAGAAGTGCGGAATCTGCAGAAAAGCAATAGATACTTATCGACTTGAAGAAATGCAGAAATGCCGAAACTGCAGACGTGCGGAAAGTGCAGAAATGACGAAAAGCACATACGTATCGATTTGAAGAAATGCAGAAATGCCGAAAGTGAAGAAGTGCGGAATCTGCAGAAATGCCGAAAGTGCGGAATGTGCAGAAAAGCAACCGATACGTATCGATTTTCCGCACTTTCGGCATTTCTGCAGATTCCGCACTTCTGCAGTTTCGCATTTCTGCATTTCTTCAAGTCGATAAGTATCTATTGCTTTTCTGCAGATTCCGCACTTCTGCACTTTCCGCACTTCTGCATTTTCCGCATTTCTGTATTTCTTCACGGCAAGCTATGAACGCTGCCTTCACTTTTCAGAGTGGATATTGTGCAATACATATACATGTCTCTTTTCAAAAGTTGTAGTGTTAGTTGTGGTATATACTAGTAAAGAGAAAGGTCCAGGTATCGAAGTTGGATAACTACTTGTACAGGATACTGATAGCCACCAGTTCAACAAGACCAACCATCATAGCTCGAACAGCTCGAGGAGAAAAATTCCGCTGAAAGCCTGTATATAGAAGTTATTAACGGCCCTGATCACTCTATTGTTAAATGGATTGACTCACTCCTCACCGACAGATTTGATCTAGTACGAGTTAGGGAATTCTGGAACTTGGGCGGGTGCACAGTTGTGTGCCGCGAAGTCTTGTCTCCTGTTCTCTCCAACATATTCACACTTGAACTACCGCGTCTCAGTACATCTACAGCAGTAAAGTGTGTTGCCTTCGCGGAGGACTTCATGTACCACCCAATCGCCTCTTGGACAAACTTCTGTTGCAAGATGCTATCAACCAGGTTGGCACGTGGGCAAACCAGTGGGGTTCGCCTCTTTCTAGGGGGAAGACTAAGACCCGTATTCCAACAGTGATCTGATGTATTAGGTTGTTCGAAAAGCCCTGCGACACTTTGACCAATTTTTCGGACTAAATT